TAGAAATTATACCAACACCCAAATGAATTCAACTAACAAGAATGTATAAAGGGCCTATAGCCCATACTTCCTCTTGGTGTTGATAGGGACCTGTCCCAAACCAATTAGAAAATAAAATTAATAAAACTAAAATAAGCAATTAATAATAATAGGGAAAAATAATAAGGTAAGAACAAGTTTCTCTTCTCAAAAGAAAAGCACTCAGGTGAACCTCAAAGATGTATTTGTATAATCATGCATTCTTAGTGAATCTCTCTTAAGCTGTTCTAATTCCTGTCATAAGAGAACAAACAGTCCAAGTGTTTTCCAAAAATAAAACTCCTGTCTATGAGATGTACTAACTTGTTCCTTGCTAAGACAAATAATCTAGCTCCAAAAATAAAATAAAATAAAATAAAATATGATGAGCTTCCAAAACATATAGGACTCTTCCTAAAATGGATTTGTTACTTGAGATTGATTAGAAGTTGATCCCTTACCCTGAGGTGAAAAATCAATTTCCCTGATGCATCTCTGCAGCACCTATGGCAACTGGAGATCTCAGACAACAATTTATTCAATGGATCCCTGGAGTTCATAACATAATCCAAAATGTAGACCCAGATGGATTGTCCTCACTTATCCCATGATAGGGCAAAATAAGTTAACTAAAAGAAAAAGAAAAAAAAATTAAAGCTTAGATGAGTCCCTGATATATGGGGAGATTGAGTGTTTGAAGTTAACTGGAATTTAATTCCTCAGATTCAAAATGAGTACCTAAGATATAACCCATAGGCCAGACTCCCCAGATCCTCTGGGCTCAATATATGCAGGGTAGGAGGGGTAGTAATCCTGGTGGCTGATGCAGGACAGTAATTTTCTATTTTTGGCTTATTGCTTCCACCTAGAGTTACTTTAGAAACATTCTCTTAAACAAAAGTATAGCTTTTATCTAGTTTTCCCTAAATAAAGATAAACTATTCCCAGGTCCTATATAAACAATCAATAAACAGCTTACATTTCTCCCCACAGAAAGTACAAATAATGCAAAGGACACACAGGAGCCCAGAAACAAATAGAGAAAATACATAAATCACTCAAACATGTCTATAGACATCCCAAATAAGGCAGTCTCATTTGGGAGATGCTGAACTAGTAACCCTTTTTTTTTTTTTGCCCAGTATTGTCTGAATCATTGTAAATGTGGAAAGTGGCAAAGTCCATATCCCTTCTTTCTTCAAGTCACTGGTGCTTTATACTGCACTTCCAGCCTCAGTGTTCACGTGGGCCTTTATTTTTCCAAAAGGCAATGTTATCTGGGGAAATGATCTCTAGAAGACTAAGGTTCTCTTGAACTTGTGAAGTCTTGAACTTGAGCTTACCCTTGAGGCAACCAAGAGTTAATTGGATTCTGCCCAAGAAATCTCCTTTCTTTGGCTAGGAGGCAAGATCACAGGTTTTTTGTTACATAGAAGATCTTAATCTCACCCCCACCCCCTCCACTTAGGTCATTGGGGTTTATGATAATTATCCATCAACTTTGCTCTTGGGCTGAAAGGTCTATCATATCAATCTTATGTGGTTGTGAACTTAATCACCCTAGGGACTGGCATCTCTTGGGCTGCAAAAATCTATCAAGTTTCTGGTCTACAGCCTGCATTCAGAAAGTTGTAGACAAGCGTAAGTGGTTCCCATGTTTCCCTACTCTAGGCAGCCTTTACTAATTCCAGAGGGGAGTCAACTGGGTGAAATGACATGCTCCCTGTCCGCACCACTCTAAATAGAATAGAGGCCTGATCTGCTGTAAACCTCTCTGTCTTCTAACAGGGAAGAGGTCAAAAGACAAAAAGAGAAGTAAAAAAAAAACAAAAAACAACTTAGTCTCTCAGTTCATTTTTGTAGATTACAAGCAGAGGCAACTTTTCTAATAAGATTTTGCTCCCTTGATTTTACATGAGCCAATCATCTCCAGTGACTAGAAGCCAATCAGAAGTTGTCCCTGTCTTATTTAAAAAAAAAAAAATAAAAAGGTCAATGCTTTCTCTTTGGGGAGGTAGTTTCCTGACCCCAAGACAAAGGCTTCTCACTTGAATACTCATTAAATTGATTAGAGAGCTTAAATTGACCTCTGATAATACTCCTTTGAAAATTTCCTCTAAAGATAAAAAAAAGAAAAAAGAAAATCTCCTCTAACACATAATACAGAAAATAACAAGTACTGCTAAATAGCATAAGTTAAATGCCAGAGTACTACAAATAATGACTGCTACAGAAGTTCATAGAAGAGGACAATCTCTGATCTCAAGAAGGTCAATGGAAGAGTCTTCGAAGAGAAAACACAGTTTGACCTGGGCCTTGAAGATCAGGTGGGACTTGAAAAAATATATAGGAAGGTATTCTAGAAATTCAATTCCATTCAACCATCTGATGTGAGCAAACATACCAAGAGATAACCATGTGCCTGGTGTGCTAAGGGAGAAAAAGTGAATTGACCCATGGAGTTAATGTTGAACAATACTGACAAATTAGATTGCAGAGGTGGAGGACAGATTATGGCGAGTCTTGAATGTCAGGCTAAGGATCTGGAAATTTGTCAATGCATTGTTACTGAAATTTTTTGAATGACTTATAGGTAATGATGTGCTTTACTTTTATTGGAATGTTGTATAAGATTGATGGGATTGGGGAGAGACTGCAAGTAGGGGAGATGTCTGCTCCATAGAGGAGTCTTTACCTGAGATGTTATTCCAGATGGTGGGGAACCTATTCTATTTGTGTGTAAAAGAAACATGTGGAAACTGAGTTCCACATTCTTCTTCCTTCCCCTCTTTAGGCTATATATTACAAAACAATAGTAGGAGCATACTTTAATCTAAAGTTTTACCAGTCTTTCTTTACCTGTTCATCCTGAAACAGTCTTACACTGAAATCTTTTAAAAATCATTTTTATTGAAAACTCTAGTTTCTAAAGAGAAAGGACTGATCAATCAAGGAAGGACTCCTGCTTGAAGTAGTTACATCAATGATTTATGAAAAGGAAGAAGTTTTTTATTAATTCAGTTAATAGAAGTATCTCTTGAGTTCACCAACTACTGACTATCTGCCACCCATAAGCATCTAAGGCCAGGGGTGGGGAACTTGCAGCCTCAAGGCCACATATGGCCTTATAGATCCTTGGGTGTGGCCTTTTAACTGAGTCCAAGTTTTACCCAACAAATCATTTTATTAAGGGGATTTGTTCTGTGAAGTTTGGATTCAGTCAAAGAGCTGCACTTGAGGAACTAGAGGGCCACATGTGGCCTTGAGGCTGCAGGTTCCCCACTCCCGAAAGCCCAAGAACCCCAGGAATGGCAACATCCCCAGACCTTGTTTCCAGCCCAGCCCCCACCTCCTTCATTCCAAGAATTTCTTCTCCCTCCCCCATCCCAGGACATATAGCAACTGCTTCTGTGGGTGCTGCAGCCACAGCTCCTGAAGGCCAAGGAAGGAAAATTATTGCTTTTCAAGTCTTTAACACTGTTAAACTGTTCGGCATCACAAACTGATACGAGTTAACCAATGAAAATGACATTGCATATGATGCATTACCATAAGCTTCACTATTACAACCTAAGGACCTGAGACTTTTCTACCTGACTTGCAATTGAAGCCTTATATCTATGGATTCTCCCTCATTAAAATTGAGCTCCTTGAAAGCTAGAACTGTGTTAAATTTCTATTTGTGTCCTTAGCCCTTACTCAGTGCTTTGCATATAGTTAAGTTTTTAACAAATAGCATTCATTCATTCATTCATTCATTCACCTTTAACCATGAGTAAAACAAAATTCTTAGAGGCAGTGGTTAAAGAGGGATTGAAAGTTGTTATATCATTTGGATTTGATAAATCTGAGTGTTACCTAAATTCTGAACCTTTGTTTAATCTTGACTGTGAAATTTTGTCTTTGTTTCTGAAAACTATAAAATGTATGAAGAGCTTGCCTGGAGAGGGACAGTTTCAATCAATATGGGTAAATTTGCCATTTGTCTCTCCCTCCAAGTAACAACGTATGTGTGTGTTTGTGTACACACACACATATATGCACATATATACTTATACAAATATGTGTGTGTATACATATATGGCTAGCTTTAACGTTTGCAAAGTACTTTATTTATGTTATTGCATTTGATCCTCACGACAACCTGGTGAAGTAAGCATTATTTTTATCCTTATTTTTATGAATAAGGAAACTGAAACTGAGAGAGGTAGAAGTTCCTGAAGTCACAAAGCTAGTAAGTGTCTGAGGCTGGATTTCAACTCAGATCTTCCTGACCCAAGTCCAATATTCTATCTATTTTACCACCATATACATTAATAAAATGCCTCTTACAGACTTGAAGTCTAAAACAAAAGTACTAAATTTTTTCTTACACACACACACACACACACACACACACACACACACAGAGGAATTCCTTCACCTAACTCTGATGACTACAGTCTGGTCTTTATAAAATTTGACTCAGCTATTAGAAAGTTTTCCTTACAACTACCCTGAATCCATCAGTGCATCTGCTGGGAACAAAACAGTTGATTATATACATCTTTCACAAACTTGAAGCCTTTTCTCAGTTTCCTCTGGAGCAAGCAATTGAAGTTAATTCATCCTTTCTTATATGTTTTCCCCAAAACCTTAAACTAAATTTGGAAGGGCCCTTTGAGATCATTTGGTCCAACTCCTGCATCTTACAGAGGAGAAAATTAATGTCTAAGTAACCAGTCAGTCACTGGGGTGGAAGCTGAGGCATACACATTGGGTCTGCAAATTTGGGGATACACTAGGCACTTCATGGACACTTATTTGCCTTTCATGCAATGCACAGCTTCTCCTTTGTTTATTCACAAAATAAAGGCCTAGTTTATTTTCCTCTGAATATGTGTGTTTGTATGTATGCACCCTTCCCCCAACAGCCTGGCTCCACCTCTTTCTTTTTAGAGACGGAAACCAGAGGCCAGGAATCGAAACAGAAACTGTCCCAGTTCAAACTTTAAAAACTGACTTCCCCGCTGGGAACCAGTCGGAAGCTTGGCAACTGAAGAAGCAGAAACTTGGACCCTTGAAGCAGCGCAGAGAGGGGACAGGTTAGTGTCACTGTACCGAGAACCGCCACAGGTGCGAACTACCGGCTCCGATTCCGCGGAGTAGCCGGGTAGGGCTGTGTAGTTCGTTATTTTTCTATCTGCGCGGAGTCCTTGGAGGGCAAGGCAAAGGGCCTTCAGCGCCCAGCAGGCAGGCAGAACTGGACGCCCTTTAAACCCTACGATCAACTTCGAGGCTGAAAGAACTAAGTTCTAACGACACCAAGGAACGCGCAGAGGCGAGAACGTTGAGTGCATCTCCAGGGCGACTGTTGTTCCCGGCCTATCTACCTGTTAAAGATGTCCAGTGAATATTCCCAGGAGGAGATTTTCCTTAATCTGATCCGGTGCTTGAGTCCCAGGCTGACCCAATACATCCAAGTGGAACCAGTGCTGGACTACCTGACTTTCCTGGGGAGAGTTGAGAAAGAACGTATTCAGCACACCGCTGCTACTGAGGGAAACATGAGAGCCGCAAGGTTACTCTTGAGCACATTAGAGAAGGGGACCTGGGAACCTGGCTGGACTCAGATGTTTCTCACAGGGCTTAGGAAAGGGGGCTGCACCTTAGCTGCTCGCTACGTGAGACCAGACCTCGCTGACTTGCCTTCTCCATCGTTAGAGACCTGTTATGATCAGTGCGCCCAACTGCTGGACATTTTGCAACCCACCCTGGTCGACAAGCTTCAAGCTACTGATGTTGTGGACAAATGCTTGGAAAAGGCTCTGCTAACGAAGGAAGATAGAAATCGGGTAGGTGCCTCTTCAGATAGGGTCCTTTTCCCCCCTTGGGTGTGCAGTTGTTACAAATGTAAATACCTGTGTGTACTTATGTGTGTACTATTCTATTCCAAGCATTCTTTGGCATACGTTTGACCAAATTATTCTTTGATAGCTCGCTTGGTACGGTGAAAAGAGAAGTTGGAGGATTAGAGGACCCGGGTTCAAATTCTGTCCGTCTCTATGATCTTGGGCAAAGGTGAAATCAATGGTGCTCAGCAACAGATTTAATAATAGCAATAGCCAGTAGATGGAACGAATGGGAGATGAAAGATTTAAGATGAAAGAACCTTGTTACTTATGATACAGGCATTCCAGAGGGCATAGTGGAAGGGCTGGGTGGTGTTTGGTTGAAACTAGGGTAGGAGGATTAACAGGGATAGGAATGAAGAAGGGACAGGAGTGGAGAATGAGATTTGGAAGAAGATAGGAGTTGAGTGACCTTAGTTGTAGCTTCCAAACCTTTTGGGCAAAAAGCACAATAAAAATGAAATCCTGTTAAAATCTATAGATAAAGATCTAGAATCTTGATCTATGAACTGTTTTCATATAATTGGTTTCCTTTGTAATCATATGTATTTTATTTTGTTCATTTAAAAGCATTATTCCATGCATCAAACTTGCAAAGGCATCCATGTCACACACACACATAAAAATTTAGAAACTCTTGGTAGATATTTTGATAGTTTAAGGAGTCAAATGTGTTCCTCAGACCCCATAACATAACTTTTTTTGCTTGTTTCTTGGGAAACTACCCCAAGAGCATAATGTCAGAATAAATGCTGAACAAGAACCTTTAAAAAAAATTAGTCATAAGAGTCAAAACCTTGTTCTGAATGCATGTTAAGCAATGTGTTCTATGACCAAAGTCAGAGGTAATATCTTGAAGGTCTCACCAATTCAGCAATTTTTAAGAGCAAATTAATTTTTTAGACCATCACTGCCATTGAGTTCCAGGGAATGCATTAATCATTGTAACAGTCAATTCAGTTTGGTCATTTTATGGATCATATTCAATCAACTTTTTATAGTCTTGGCAAAGACTGAAGCCAAGATATGGATTTAATGGCCCAATTTAACAGAATTATTTAATGCTACTCCTCTGTAATCTTCATGTTGTTTTGTGTATTGAGAACCAGAAAGATCACATTACAGTAGTCCAGCTGGATATGACAAATGTGTACATCACTGTGGCAGAATCTTATTTTGGAAGAAAGTACGCAGCCTTCAAGCCAGCTGGAGATAGAAGATGGCATTTCCAGCCACGGTAGCTGTTAGGGAGTCCAGAAGCAACAGAGTCCAGTAACACCACAAAGTTGTTTATATTTGCTGGGTATACTCTTCCAATTGCCAGTGAAGTGGCACTTCTCATTATTTACTCTAAATACTTCTGCCTATCAGCATCACTTTTGTCTTGCCTGGGTTGAATTTCTGCCAGTGAGATTTCATCCAAGATCCGATTCCTGGCAAGCCCTAGGACAGCTGGGAATAACGCAAGGGGACTGACACAAAGGCGCTATGGAGTTAGGTGGCATTTGGGTATAGATGGCACTCAAGGCCAGAGTGACTCACAACCCATAACCTCACCCAAATAAAGATTTCCAAAGAGAGGGACCATAACTAATGGAGAGCTGTATCTTTCAAGCTCTCTGAGGAAGATAAGTTTCCATGTGAGCCTTTGCAATATTTCTGAGACAAATAACTTTGCCCATTATAATATATTTTTAGTTCTACTAAAGGGTATGGTTGACATTGTCACGGGTAGTATACATCTAAAAGACTGCATATTAACCTGTGGAAGTATCAGTGAATTTTAAATTTCTTTCTAGAGGCAGGCTTTTTAGGACGTGTATCTTTTTTTTTCCCCCATGTATCTTTTTTAAAAGATTAACATGCAGATACTTTTCAACTGGCTTAAAATCTAGATAAAACACTTGTGTTGAATTTTGAGTCTTTACAGATTATATGTATCTTTCTGAATGATTCATGAAGAAAGACATCGTTCTGGCTTAAAAAGATAATAATGGATAAACTGTTGAACTAATTTGCCAGCATGCCTTACTTATGCATGTAAAATCCCCAATTTACTTTGTTGTGAAAAGTACATGATTTTTTGGTATCTTAAGTTAAAATGTAATGTATCCACAGAAGTCCTGCTTCAGAGTCTCATTGTGGTATAAAGGTAACCCTGGGGTTTTGAGATTTCTGCTGGCAAAATTCAGCTCTGATAAATTCTCCCATGTGGCAAAGGCGACTGTGAGTACATTCGCAATGACAGATTGAGTCTACTTTTGGAGGGCCATCCTAGCTGCACATGGAGAGGCTGATCACTTGTAAGCTGGCTATTAGATGATAAATGTCTTAGCCATAGTGATCTATGGGGAAAAAAGTGTTCTCTAGGCCTATTAGTCCTCATTCTGCTTCTTCAGTGACAGTGGCCTCATGGTATTAAGAAATCACAGTTTTTACACTACCTAGAAGCATGGATCTAATTATTGGTAACTTAAATATCAGATCCTTTTCTAGTAACAAACGAGTTGACAGTGAGCTGCTATGGAAAGAGCATCGGACTTAGATTGAGGAGGTCTAAGCCCAGAGCTCGGGTTTTCTACTACTCATGTTGGACAACTCATGAACTTTTCTTGCTGAAATTGGTTTTCTCATCTATAAAATAAAGGTTATTGATATCCAAGGTCCATTCCAGCTCTAAATCTATAATCCTACCAATACTGAAATTCTCGTTAAAATTAAACCAGGACACATAAAAAAGTAGTACCAAATGGAAGGATGGGTCACAGATTCTTCTTGTAGAGTTTAATAAAGAGGTGGTGGAATGTGTCCAAAGGCAACAACAAAAGTAACTTTATGGGATACTTGGTCATCTAGTATTGCTGTGCTACTGAGAACCTTTGCAAAAAGACCAACATGAAAACTAGTTGTAGCTCATATGCCAACACCTTTTGCGGAGTATGGAAAAGAGGAATAGCAGCTTCACAGAGAACTCTATAAATATCTCCAAATTAAATTAACTTTAGTACTCCATGACTTCAAAGCAAAGGTGGGCATGAAAAGATATGTTTGGCAATATGGCTCAAGATTAATATATGGAAGTGGCCAAAAGCATGTAGAATACACAGAAGCATCACACCTATATATAAAAAATACCTTCTTCAACAAGAGTATAGGAAGGCAAGCACTGATAGGATGACCATAGTTGAATCTGGTTATATTTTAATACAGAGGAAATGATTGCTTACTGGTGTGGGAGTCATTTCCAGATCAGCTATCTGTATATAATCAGACTATTGACTTGCTAAAAAAAAAAAAAGTTCAACATTTAAAAAAGATTAGAAGAAAAATATAGATGTCATGGCATTTAATTAGAACAGCCCCATCCAGACAAATTTAAACAAGCTATTTACATCCACAGACAAAAATGGATAAGGGATAAAGCAACAGACATTGATGTAGATATTCTAATTTCTAAGGAAGTTTAGCTGATGTAAGTCAGTTGCCAGAGTAAGAAGTCTAGAGTAGCCCGGAAACTGCCTTAAACAGTTAGGTCTGGCCTACTTCTAAAATAGCCTGTATGATGAGGCTATACCTTAGTTCGCCAGGTCTGTGGAATACTCTGACAAAAGACTGGCCATTTTGAATGAAAGGATAAAGCCATGTGATGTTTAAAATGTTCAAGACATTGTTTTTGGGTAATTAGTCACTGTATTAATAATGCTAGCATTTTATCAATAAAAAGGTCAGTGACATTCTCGAATGTGAAAGACCTCTCATGGAACCCACTCGACCCTTATATGCCCTTGGAAGGGTGGGTGTTCTTGAGGGTGACAATGAACTCTGATTGGTTAAAAAGTATTAAAA